TTAAACTAAGTTTGTATAAAAGGGTTATTATAATATTAAGGAATTTATGGATGATAATAACCCCTGGGAAGGGTGATCGCTACCAAGCTATTTCTAATTTGTCTTGTGTTGTTAACTGTAAACATGATTGTAAGCTATTATTAAAAAAATAGTCGCGCTGGGTTTCTTTCTGGTTCTTCCCAGGACAGAGGTTTTTTATTTGCGAACCAGTGGTAAATGAAAAAAATGACTTTCAATAAGTATTGTTTATAATCTACATTGAATAAAAAACTTTCTGTTTCTGCAAATACAGAACCCTAAGCACAAAATGAGTTACACCTAGAAAAATGCGTAAGAGTTGTTTTCGCGAACAGCATTGTTTCAGCAAAATGGGCTTCGGTGCCACCACTAATATGGAACACGACATCATAATGATGTTACCTTTTGCATTCTGTGCGAGCGTGGCCTTTTGTCGGTCGAGCTGATTTATTCGTGCAACCATTATACACTGCAGCGTGACTCTACCACGAATGAACAATAGGTATTCAGCTATTGCTACTAAAATAACTAAAACCTGAGGAGAATCCTACTTCAAAACAAATACCTATTATGTTATTATTGGTTCAAGAACATAATTGTTGCATAATGGTGATTTTCTTGTAGCTGTATTATCGGCACATACAATTTGACTCACGCGTCGGACCACAGTCAATTGGTGGGATTTTACTGTCCAATAATTATCCATGTTACACCCTCGGGCCTCGAGAAGTACGTAAGGCCTTAGGTTTCTTTAATAATTTTACTCTTTGATTTTGTAAAGCGTGCTTTACTATCACCGGGCTGTCATGGGTTAATTTGAATATATACAGATAAATAATATTAATATGGTAACGTTTAGTGTCGCAACAGAGGTATTATCAGAAAAAGGTGGATGCAGCGTCAGAAACACGGGGAGAAGAACTTTGGAATTGATAAAAATCTCAATGTCGATGGATATTTAAACACAACCCGCGGCATGATAATCGAGTAGTTGCTCCCATTGATAAATTACTATCTACATCGTATAACTTGAAGTATTTACTTTTGGTTGTTTTAGTTTTACGTTGATTTAGATGTTAAATAGATAAGTATAATAACCGTGTAGTGGCGGTATATGGCTACCCCATTCCGTCCCGAGGATGTCGTGAGCGGCGACAAAGGGAATGATATAGCAGATGGGCAGCAGCATCTTCCTTATAACAACTCAATATGAGCAAAACTGGGTTGACAACCCGCTTGCCTAGCGTGGCAGCTATGGCAAAACTCTTCCGTGAGGCAACCCATGAGGGGGGGGTTTTGTTCAGCAGTGGACTTTTATAGGCTTTGATTGATGGATGATAAAAAAATATGCAAATCGGATGGTTATTTAACTATGAAATTATGACGTCATCAGACTACAATTACGTACGTGGTAGAGCTATGTTGTTATCTATTATGGCTACAGCACGAATGGATCATCTCGACCGGGGAAGGACCAAGCTATCACAGAATACTGCGTGGAAAAGCAGCATCATTCTGCTGTGTGTAGTGTGGTGAGACAGTGGTAACGTGACGCCTCATCTTAGTCCTCAGACAGTTCATCTGCATTTAGATTCTTAATCAAGTTTAAAAGTAGGTTTATATAAAATATAGCATCTAGTACTTACCTCACTGGTTTCTATAAAAAATCAATTTCTATAGAAATGTTTGTATTGACAACTCCTCAAATGTTTTGAGGAGTTGTCAATACCAATTGAAATAGAAAATTAATTGAATTTGAGATAGAGTGTCAAATACCCACTTATATAAACCACTAAGCTATGTGTAACGTTCTTTCCACATTAATCTTGCAAATAACGCGTATCAAACATGTAATAATTGATAAGATGGTTGACGTAAGGTAGCTTATTCGATATTTAAACATCTAAATAAATATTAAAACAGCAATTAAAACTCCAATTATAACTAAAGAATGTTTAAATAATTTAATATAAAACTAATAAAATGTGATGAATATTGCATGCCATATAGCGTTCTCTAAGTGATAAACTGTGGCAATACCATATGTACCTATCAACCTATATTCGCAATAAACAATTTGAATTTGAATGTAATATGTGTACCTGTTTATACAGTTAAATAGTATAACAAAATAAGATTTTATCATTTCGTCGATAGAAAGTTTAATATTTAAATAATACAAGCCTACGAAAGAATAATTTTTACGGAGACGATATTTATACATAAAAGTAAAAAAATTATATTTTAATATAAATAAAAAATAATAGCAATGCTATTGTGGAGGCACTCATCACAAGCGAAACGCACCGAAGCCTAAATCGCGCTATCAATTTTCCGAAGCTACCGCGCTATATATAGAACAGCTCCGAAATAACACGGAGCGTTGGCCGCTCCAAGAGCTGAATACCTTGTCCAAACTATGTCCAAATGATTACTTATTTCCGGTTAACCACTCTAGGTAATCTTTAAATGCCTGTGTTAGAAGTCTTTCACCACAGTTGGTCGAATGGCTGATACGAATCCACGAATTTTAAAGTTGGAACTCTGCACCCTACAATTACGCAAAAGTCGTTTCAGTTTTAATAAGCTCCTAAGAATATTAGTGATAAAAACTGAAATATTGCCTTGACTGCAAGATAGAGTTATCAATCAGTTCTATCCCTCCGTTACAGTTTATAGAAGTTCACTGCTGAATATATGCCTCCTCATAGATTTGCACCGTAAAAGAGATTTTAGACATAGCTCTCGCGCTTAGAAGGCGTATTCGCAACCGCAGTTTTAATTTGTCTAATCGTTATTAGACAAATTAAAACTGCGGAAGGAACTAGGAAGACGTTACATACTGGCCATCTCCAGACTTGTTTCCCTCTATCGCTTCTTACCTCACCTACAGGACGGTAGAGGGTAGCGGATATTCTTACACCGCCACTTCAGCTTGTAAGTACAAGGCTTCTCAAGCTACGTACAATCTACGACTGGGAACAGGTTTCAGCTTTTTGTGGGTAGATTTTCGGAATAGTCACAGATTACGTATATTTTACGTGGTAGAGCCATGCTGCAGTTATATTAGTAGTATAGTTGCTCTCACAGAATACCAGCGTCAAATAGTAGCTTAATGCTGCTGTGTTTCGTATGGTGAGTGTAGAGAACCGGAGACCCTGTTTACTGGAAACGAGGCATTCCACCTAAGTCCTCACGGATGACAACGTATCTGCATTTTGATTCGTAATCGACGATAGATGTCTGTGTGCTCGTTTGTCATCCTATCCTATAAAAAAAAAGATTAAATAATAGTACTACGTAGAGTAGTGTAGAGTACACCACTTTCCTCTAAGTTTATCGAATTATCCCAGATTTTTTTTAATTCATCGCTATTTATAAATTATGTTTGTATCGTTTTGCGTGCAATAATTATAGGCTTTATTTACATACATTGAATATCGGTTGCTTAACCAAGTATAATTAATATTAATAACACGGGTCGCACGAGTACTTTGAAATTTAAGGTTTCAGTTACATATCAGTAATATCTAATATAATAAAGGTGATCAATGTTCTGAATTTTAATGGGACTGTTAAAAACCTTAAAATATCTTTGTCATTTATTTAAAAATAATTTTTGTAAAACTTTTGTTTTCATCTGCTTTGGAATCCTTCAAAATGTATTTTCGGTGAGGTTACGTCTATCGGTAGACTTAAAAGGCTGTTTATGTGTGATTAGACGTGTTTTAATGAACGTGAGATGTGATAATATGATAAGAAAATTCTAGTTATGTTAATGTCCTATAGATATTTATAGTTATTTACTTAGTGCCGTCGACCTTACACGTCTACAATAAGGTGACACTCATTAACGTTTAACATAATATTATGTTTAAAGAAGTTATAATAGCGTCTTTATTTATGTAGTTTTTTTAACTCGTTAGCATATTCATTGTTTCTTATATTTACGGAGATACAAATCGAGTGAAACGTATTTTAGTACCCGTAATCACGGATGCTGCAAAGCATTAGGACACTGGTTTTTCAAATTATCCTTATCCTTATGATTTGAGTAAGCAATTCTTGTTTATATGCATGCCTGTGATAAATATGATTGGTTTTCTTGGAATCGACTCAATCGATTTGCGTGAAATTTTGTATTTAGATAATGTTTTACTTTCTAAGTTAATCTAGGTATGTAAATTATTTTTAAAGTATAATTTTGCTCCTTGCTCAATTAATTCATTATGATATAACGATTTTTTTAGTAGAATTTGGTTGCGAAATGATCACACAGTCTACCAAAAGGTAAGTGGATGATGTGGTCCAAAGACATCTACAGATCTATCCTCGATTAAGAATCACAATGCGTTGTCACCCCTGAGGAGTAAAATGCCTCGTTTCCAGTCAAATGGTCTTCCATTCTCTATACTAGCCATATGAAACAGCAGCATTAATCTGCTATTTTAGGGTGGTATACTTTGAGAGGGTGGTCTTTCCCGTTCGAGCTGAGTCACTCATACTACAACGATAATATAGCAGTGGCTCTACCACAAATATTGACCACGATATCTTGGCAAGAATAATTTAGTAAGAGATCTGAATATCATTAATACTTCTGCACATCATTTTTTACTGACTTAGCACTCGATCTCGTACAGCTTCATCATTTCACAGAATAAATTATTTATTGGGGATACACACAACAAAGAGTAATATATAATATATATATATATATATATATATATATATATATATATATATATATATATATATATATATATTGGTGTTTTACTCAATGAGTAGTGTTCCAAAGTTATCAATCGTATTTTATTATAATCGTCATTACATTAAAACTATTTCTAAGTAGACTATATTTAAGAATTTTCCTACAAATTATTGTCATTTTTTAAATATATAAATTTTGATATAAATAAAAATATTAAAATATTGTTATGTTTCACTTAAGTTATGAACTTAACAATATTGATACTACTTACTGTTCGCAACTAACACACAGCAAAGGCGGAGGCATCCTTTTAAATCCTAAAGGGCATTTATTATACACGATTGCACTGCGTTTCACTCTTATTGGTTTTTGTAATAAGGCTTCAACTGCTTTATTTAAGCTGTCATTTGGTTCTGTTTCTAGCCACTGTTTTGTAATATCCAGTGCCACAAATCTTGAATTAACCACGTTGATGAAAACAAGATAAGTTAGCGCGTAAATAATAAAATTATTCGACATCATATCGATACGTTCGTTCCAATCGTACGCTTAAGGCTAACTAACACAGGTAGTGTTGTGTTGACTGATTGAGAATCTGAATGTCAAGGTAGCAGCCGAGGAAAGTGCGCGTGCGCAACTCATAGTTTACGATGAGTCACCGGCACTTAGGCATCCTACATTTCGATAGCGTAGTACCGTACTCGCCTGAGAAGGAATTGGTGACCTCTACACAAAGCTGTTGCTATAGTTTTTATGAATATTAAATATTTTAAAATAAAAAATGCTGAAATTTCCACTGGTTTTTCCCAGGACAAAGGTATTTTACAAACGGTAAATAAAAATGATTTACATAAGATATAGTTTACGCTCTACATTAAATAAAATATTTTGTTAATATAATGTATTCTATTTATATTCTCTTCCGTCCCCTCAGGACAAGCTCAATGTCACGATTGATCACATAGGTCTAATTGACGTAATCTGGTCTATCCAGTGCGCCTAAATACACTACTCAAAGCCCATAATAGCAGTACAACAGTAGCTAGAACTAAAAAAGACGAGATCGTACTCTTCCTGCGCAACCATGATGAAGACGTTATGTAAGTGTAAGAGGTCTTATTGAAGCCTAGCTATCGCGATCCTAAGATCGCAAATTACATCTTACTTAGAAATGATAGGTTGACCAGCCCCATGGGCGGCACCTTGGTCTACTACAAGATGTCCTCGCACTGCGCACGGATCGATGCTCCACCGTTAACTAACGTAGAAGTCTATTTGTAAAGTAGCTCTATCCGGCCATCCGCCACTTACCATCTTTTTAGCATACCAACCGCAAAAGAAGCGTATTGTAGAATCAGACAATCTAGAATTATTAAACCTAGGCCCTAGTGACAGAATAGCTGGAGGCCTCAACAGTAAGCATTCCTCTTGGAAATCGCTTACAAACAACCTTAATGGCATTGCATTGTTCGAGTTCATGAACCGATTAAACTTCGATGTTATTGCGCCTGAGACTTCAACCCATTACCCATTTACTACCAGATATCGACCGAACATCCTTGACATAGCGTTACTCACGAATGAAAGGTTCGCGTGTCGAACAATCGATACCTGAAGCTTCCGAGGGATATTCCACAACTGATCAGAGTAAACAACGCGGCCCTTAGACAGTATGATCAGTACCGCACCATAGATAATAAATTTAGACTGCGCAACCTCCAAAACAAGTTGTTAATGCCGCTCTCTTTGCAGACGACAAAGCACTCCACGTCTCTCATTCCCACACGAAATATCTCACAGCGTTGCTTTAAAGAGCCGCCAATCGCTTAGGCGAATGGTTTCATTCGTGGAGAATTGAAGTAAGTGCCTGAAAAAAGTATAACAATATACTTTCAAAGTATACCCACCCTCAATCGTCGGAACCTAAACCCAAAAAAATACTCTAGGCATGAACACCCTATTCGGCCGCCAGATCCCGTGGCAAACAACAGTCAAATATCTGGAGTCACATTCGATCACTCCATGACCTTCGTGAAACACACTCACACCGTCCGCAATCGTGACAAATTCGTCAATAGTCGCTTCCACCCGCTAATTAACAGTAAGAGCAAATTGTCCTTAAGACATAAGCTCCACATCTACAAAGCTTGCTTTAGACCTATCATGTCCTTTGCAAGCGTAGCTTTCGCACACGCAGCTCATTAACATTTGAAGACCTCTAAGTCATCCAAAATAGATTTCTTCGCATCGCCACTGGAGCTCGGTGGCACCAGCAAAACTCAGACTTGCACAGAGATTGCCAACTTCCGACGATCTCTGAATATTTCAAAGAAATGTCTTGGCGTTACTTTGAGAGCGCTGAGATACATCCCAACCCGCTAGTGGTAAACGCTGCAACATATGCTCCGACTCAAAAGGTTAAGCAAAGCCTCCGGAGGCCCCGCAACATTTTATTCGAAGCTCCAGTTCCGCTAGATTCCGACAATACAACAGTCGCCGGCCCGTCACACATGGATACTACACATTCACCTAGCGCTACAAAGGCTGATAGGACAACGGACGGACACAGCGAGTCCGCAGACGGGCACGCCGCACACCCCTCCACACCGTGTACATACTGTACACCCGCGTCCCTGGGTGGTTCTCACCGCTCAAAACATCGAACAACACGAGTTAGCCATTAGAGCCAGGGTGCGTCACTCCCTGTTCGGACGGCCGATAGATGGCTCATCCACGTGCACTGTACACCGTCATAGGAGTTATCGTTACGCAAGTAACGACGCGAAATGTTTTAATTCACTTTAAAACTTTTTTAAAACTGCAGAAATACGCAGAAAGTGTAGAACCTGAGTCCTTTGCATCTGTAAGAGCCGCAAAAGTTAACAGCACCAACGTCATCGAAACCAGAGAGGTTCTCTTCCGTTTCTTAATAGTAGTTATTAATAGTGTTTGCTTCATTTTGACAACTACCTAATATAAATGGGGAGATAACTAATGACAAACAAATTAAAAAACGTTTTATAATATAAAAAAGTGATTTCGAATATGAAGTGAATTAAAGGAAAGTATTGTTCCATATAATATAACCAAGTTCTAAAATACGAGAAGGTTCGACGCGTAAGTTATGTATGTCCACCAATATCTCGTAAATGAACTGATTAATAAGGTTTTTTCTTTATTAAATTCTTAAAAGAATAAAAGAATTCTTGTCCAAAAATAAGGAATAGGAAATGAAGATTTTAAAATAACTATTTTAGCGTCATCCTATTTATTAAATTTTGCAGTCGGTATGTACTTTTTATAAAATAAAAATAATCATTATTATTTTTCTATGCATAAAATTTTAAAGTTTTAAAACATTTGCTGTTTTATAATAAATTACTTTACCTACGATGCTTCATCATCATCATCATCATCACAGCCCTTCACAAGTCCACTGCTGAACATAGGCCTCCCCCAAGTAATGCCACAAAGCACGGTCCTGAGCCACCTGCATCCATCGACTTCCTGCATATCTTACCAGGTCGTCACTCCATCTAGTGGGGGGTCGCCCTACACTACGCCTACCGGTACGAGGCTGCCACTCGAGAACCTTTTTTCCCCATCGGTTATCGGTTCTTCGAGCTATATGGCCGGCCCATTGCCACTTCAGCTTGCTAATCCGTTGGGCTATGTCGGTCACTCTGGTTTTACTGCGGATATCCTCATTTCTGAGTCTATCACGCAGAGAAACTCCGAGCATAGCCCTCTCCATAGCTCGCTGAGCGACCTTGAGCGTCCTCATACGGCCAGCAGTGAAGGACCACGTCTCTGATCCGTAAGTCATCACTGGCAACACGCACTGGTTGTACACTTTAGTTTTCAGAGTGCTTCATGATGCTTCACCAGTCATAAACTCGTAAATTTTAAGCGCTTTGTATTGAAATCCCCAAAATGCAAGTAACATTTAAAAAAAGTTAAGCCCTTTTTCATCGAGAAACATTGTTGGGGAACACAACTATCTTACTTAATACTGTCACCAATCGAAGTAGTTTTCTAAAGAGTGCACTTCGGAGAGTATGCTCAGGAATTGCATAACTTAATCTTCCACCATCGGCCCGTCTCCACCCTTTCATTCTCAACTCAGCCAAACTCAAAAGTTTGCTTCAACGTTCGTCATGCGTATATCAAAGGTATAGAATAAGTTGCCAGCGTCTGGTTGTCCATCTGATTACAATGTGTGTGTGGTGTCTTCAAGGCAACAGCGAATAGGCTATTGCTAAGTCGGTGCGTTTTACTATTTTTATCTGCATCACGCAGCAAAGCAATTTTATGTTCCAATATAAAAAAGAGGCAAGAAAAGTAACAAGTATGATTATAGGCTAAGGCACATCGACTTAGTCCTTAAGCACGAATACATATATAACATAGTCTTCTCGATTGGAAATTGCGGGTAGACAAAGATTTTGCTGTTTACTTTCGTTAAAAAATATCAGCTAAAGCTGTTATCCACTAAGGCAATAGAATAACAAATTCAGAGCAAGCAATGTACTCATATGAAATAAAAAGTATTTTGTCTGAGGCAATATATGCTCAACCGCGACTCGCTATTTTAGTGATTAAAAAAAAAACAAATCAATATTAAAATTTTGATATACTTAGCCAATTACATATTATTAGCGTTTTCGTCAGCACTTTTTATTTTTTAACACAAAATATATACCAATATTTCACACACGTTTAAAGAATTAAAAATTCAACACATTTATTTTTATAAATCAAGAGTGACAAACACTATAAATAGGAAAGAGGGTGAGTACCCAGATGGACATCATCTAATAATGGCTATTTATATCTATCAGAGATAGATCTATCGTAAAACTACGAATTTTTCCTAGTTCAATAGCCATCGACCGATATTGAAATAATTCAAAGAAATGAATTAAAACGAATTCATCGTTTATAACCTTTGGTTTTTAAATATTTAAAGATAATGGTTACGCTATGTAAAAAAGAAATACTTAGGTACCTCACAGCTTCTGTTTAACAACATCTGTCTAAATAAAATTATGAACAAGTACTAAAAATGAAAAGACTTAATTTTTATAACATTTAATGACCGTATATCTAATTGATCGTGTAGTAGCGTTATAAGAATTTCCAGAAACAAAAACAGAAACTTTTTATTCAGTAAATATTACAAATAATACTTATTGAAAATCATTATTTTATTTGAAAAAGACTACCTCATATTATTCTGTAGGTGTGGTAGGCGACAGAGGGAAAAAACCAGATGAGGGGCAGCAGTGTCTTCCTGATAACAACTCAAATGGTTAACTACGGCTAAGCCTACCTGCCAAGCGTGGCAACTATGGCAAATATACTCAATATCCCCACTACAAGATAGTAAATGGGGGAGGCCTATGTCCAACAGTGTACTTCAATAGCTGCGGCGTGGCGTTGTCACTTGTATAATTTTAATGTAAAAGCTTTCTTTTCAGACTTTCACGGAGTCGATCGAGCTCAGCAATCAGCGGCTA